AAATTTTTTCGAAAGGTTATATCGGTATTTATTCTTACAGTCTTGATTAACAAAAGTAATAATTTTATAACAGATTTAATACACAACATTTTAATAATTATCATATATGGTCCGAAAATGTGAAAATTTTTATAGTAGACAGTGCATACTGTAGGTAACCTAGTTTTGCTAATTTTGCATACTTTTCGAGTAAAAAAAAAATTTACATTAACGATTAACTACTGGTATCTTTAAGAATCGAAAAGAGATGATTAAATAGTATTAATGTGAAAAAGTTTGTATTTTCCATGCCAATAATACTCAGTTATTATTTCTTCCTAAAAACGTCTCATGAAAATAAAGTGAAAAATACTGTATTATTATTTCGCTTTTTTCACAAACTAGGGAACATCGTTTGCAGCAGCTCATTTCTTGATTGTCAAAAGTTTTCAACCTGCTTTAATGAGAAAAATATTTAAATGCAGCGACGTCTCCAAACTCCTCTATACTCTCCACCTGAATCGCTGACGATGGATGTCACCGATCGTCAGCGCCACAAGCGGAGAAAATATTAACTAGCGTCTATACGCTCGGTCTCATAGAGAGAGATAGTTGGCGGACGGCCTTACTAGCGAAGCGATCAAGTGGCCTTGCCAAGACATAGCCAAATATTGTAGCGCCATATCACTAGCGGACATTTGAAATTTGTCGACTAGGACGGTCGGTTAATCGGGGGTCGGATAAACGAGGCTCTACTGTATATACGTATTGCTGAATTAATATATTCATTTTAATATAAACGAATTATTAAATTTAACTTTTATTTCAATTTTTTTGTTTTGTTCAACGAAAGAACTAAATACACGAATCACTAACTATTTATAATATAGATCCTAAACGACAGAATAAATTCTTCAGTAAGATTTAATATTTTTCAAGATTTCAATTAAATAGGATTCATCAATCTTATACAAGTCGAGCTATATTTATTTTATACAATTTTCATAAAAAGTAATGTATAAAATTACTCTCTTATTTTAATACTTAGAATGGAAAATCTTTAAATAACCTCAGGCTTCCCTTCAACCGACTTAAATCTGTTTCTGATTTGTATGACATTAGTTCAAAAATTCTTTTTTTCATTATTTTGTATTATCGTTTGTATAATTTGAAACTATAAGCACACATTCATTGCACCCCCTTTATATTAGTGACTTTAAAATATTTACGTAATAATTTACTTATTGCGTAGAAATGGACTGATAGAGGAAGAAAGTGCAACATTTAGGTGATCTGCCTACCAGGAGTGCTTTCTATGTAAACTAGTCCTTATTTAGGTAAAAAAATTCCAGGAAACTCCATATAGTCAGCTCGTTGGTGGGGCGCGAACCCTCAACTAATTACCAGTATTTAGTGAGTGTATAAAAATGAAATCCCATCGTGAAAAGTTCTTGAAATATCAGGAAATTCTATTTATTTCTAATCTAACTTGTAAAGTAAAAAGGAGTGGAAAACGAATTCTGATAATTCATACTTTCACATTTTTCATGTGCATTCTCATTTTTTTAAAAATAATTTTATAAACTATATAAATCAAGAAAAATAAATGCATATTCCATATTTATTTATTTATTTACATTACTCGATATATATTTTAGTCGAATAATTACTATTGATTATTGAATATTTTAGGTAATCTTATCGCATGTGGTCGTTCTCAACCACTCGTCTTGAACGCTCCTTCAGGAACTATTTACAGTCCAGGTTATGAAAATAAACAAAAATATCCCCCAAGAACTCAATGCTCTTATTTAATCCATGCACCGGAAGGAGTAAGTTGATTTAAAATAATAAATTTAGAAGTATAATATATAAAAATATTAGCATTATTATAAATCGTGTCAATTTTCTCATAGCAAAGAGTACAACTGACTTTCAAAGATTTCGAACTCGACGTTGCAGAGCATTGCAGTGGCGACAGATTGTCAATACATGAAGGAAAGGACTTGAGAGCTCCAGTATTACATGTTTTATGTGGAAGCGAATTGCCAAGGGATGTTATGTCGGTAAAAAATGTAATGCTAATTGTATTCCAAACTGATTTCATGATTCAGAAGAGAGGATTTCACATAACTTATAAAATGACAACAGTTCCGAGTAAGAAAATATTTTAAAAAGATTTATTTAATAAAAATTCTAAATAGGATATATTATCATAAATATATCATATACGTTTTATTTAAATTGATATATTATATTAATTATTACTTTTATGCATTAGATAAATTTATTTAATTGAAAATTCATCTCGTAAAAAAATGAAATCGTAAAATTCCTATTATTATAGGCATTAGTCTATGAGCGTAATTATCGTGTTCAAGCTAAATTATTAACATTTTATTTAATTTGACTAAAATAATATTGAATTTTAATCAAAAATTCAAAAAACAAGTTAAAATGGCGCAGTAAATTAAAACTGATGTCGATGTTTAAAAAAGTCAAGCTTAATTCTAAATTATTCAAAATCGAAACAAAATTATATAAATAAAATTGCAACTCATCAAAACTAAAAATTCNATTTAAATAAAAAAAAAACTACATTTAGTTATGTATAGTCTATAGTAAGAAAAAATGATGTATTTAAATATCTAAAACATTAATAATATTTTTATTCAATGGTATACATATATACTTTATAAATACTATTGTTTTAATAAAAATAAATTTTTTCTTTTGAGTTAGAATAATAAAATTTCAATTCATTGATGGAAAATTCATACCAAATAACTTTTAAAAAAATCTCCTGTACCATTATATACTTTATAAAGACAATTCATATATTGTGTATGTACTATAAAGTACATACACAATACGTCATTCATTCAAATTTTGAATTTTGAGTGCTTTATTATTAAATTTTAAAGTACTTTCGCATGTTTCATAAAACTAACTGCATGAAAGAAAAGACTCTAGATTCAGTTCTTAAATATAGAATCGCGATTTAACTCGTCTATATCGGCGAATTAATTCTCGAATTACAGATTAAATCATGCACTATTTGATGATTTCGTAATTTAATGTTAGATTCAGTTGGTGAATTAGTGAAGTAACGCTTGATCTAGAGTTACCAGCTTAAAACCTCGGATTATGAAACTTCCGATTTAAAACGTTGTTGGTAAATGCTGCCCTTAGAGTACGACTCAAAATTAAAATTATGTATTGTGCCATCTGTTATAAAAATTATTTTAAATAAAATCTAATAAGAATTATTATTATAAAAGGCAAAAGCCTTATTTTGAGGGTAAAGATGAGTTTTTATAAAAATTATCATCATCAATAACGGGTGAAATTTTCATTAATTCTGACTCCATTCGATAAATGACATCTATCTGCATGAAATTGTCATGTTTGAATTTTTAAAAAGCTGTCTTTTTAATTTAATTTTTTTTTACTCTTTTTATCCTGTCGGTATTAAGAGAACCTTTTGAACTAGCCAATCGTGGGACGGCCAGGCCCATGTTGGGGCAACCAGATGAGGAATGGGGGCCCAAAATTTCTGGGTCGGATCTCCTTTTGAAAAATTCCTCGTGCTTTTCGACCCGTCTGAATTTGTTTCTGGGTTTCCCAGATCGATAGGTATCATACCTTAAAAGCTGGCCATTCGGCCCATTATACCATACAGTGTGATGGTTTTTGGTTTTTATAATCTAAGATTTTATGACAAACTATTGGAAAGTCCAAATAGATTATAACAGTTTAAACATAATTTTCTAACGTATGTGTGATATACAGTGAAATCCGTCCAAAAACGAAGCCCAAGTAAAATGGAAACCTGCCTAAACGGAAAAATTTCTTCGGAACGGAGTGATTTTCCATATTAAAGAAACCCTGTTCAAAACGGAAGTCTGCCAAACCGGGAAAAAAATATGTCGCTTCTGTTCGTTTCCACACATTTAAAAATGAATTTAATTTACTTCGTCAGTCGAAACATTTAAATCTATAAAATTCTTTCTTTTTGCTAAGTTCTTGAAAGTTTTCAGGTATTTACTGCTAATATAATGTAAATAACTCGTCTAACTTTAGGCAAGCGATGTCAAACCTTTTTCCAAAGGTGGGACAAAATTGAATTCGAAATTTAGTAGCTCTAAATATTAAATTTGAGTAATTTAATAAATACAACAAAAATGCTTGCAAATTTTACTTTACGATATAAATTAAAAAATTATAAAAAAAAATAACAACTCTGAATTTTAAGTGTAAAGAAAATAATAATGTGATTCTAACAGAAACAAATATTTTGTTTATCATCAAATAATAAACAGCAGATTTTCCATTAAGTTTTCTAAGGTTCATAGTTAGTGGCATTTATGATTTTTCACAACAGATTTAGAACCTACAGTACGTTCGCCATTCCTGAACTAGACCTTGGTTTTTAATACCCGATAATAAAGTGTTTCCTAACGTGAATAAAATCATTACGTCGTGGGCGGTAGTTACTTTTTGCTGCAAAATTTCTATTGTAGATTGAGGAAATTTTTTTCATTTTTTTCTTTATTTTAAGGTTTAAACGTATCGAGCAGGGAGAGCAAATAATTCGAATGATTTCGTTAATCGAATAATGGATTATTTTTTATCCGAATGAATCCATCACTAATTATAGTTATTCGTTTACTAAACTGTATGTCACCTTTAAATTTTCTAATTAAAAAACAGATTATAGTTTAATTTTCCGAACAATTATTTAAATTTAATTTTAAAAAATTAAAATAAAATTGAGATAATGCTAGCGAAAAGGACATCTTATCTAGTTTTTATCTGAGAAGTGAGTGCCTTTATGATAATGAGCGGCTGTTTCAATATACAGTACTTGATAACGTATTTCGCAATATATGAAAATTTGAAATTTCGTCCCTATTTAATGCAACGCAATGTAGCGTATACAAAATAATAATAAAACGTATAAGTTAATTTCGTTTATAGATTTGATTATAATTAAATTTATAATTAAAATGACAAAATTAACTACTTCAAGCTGCATTATGTTCCCGATATTTTAATTATCACGCTTGTGGGAATAAAATTATCTAATATATATTTTAATGATAAGGAGTAATCGTGACTTAATTTACCTCATAAAGGATGTTTTAAATATTAACTTTTTAAATAAATAGTAATAATAATTTTTATGAATTTAAGAGAAATTCAGCAATACGTATTAATACAGTAGAGCCTCGATTATCCGACTCAATTGGGGACTGGGGTTAGTCGGATAACCGAAAAGTACGAAAAAATCCATTATTAGTGTAGTATATTATTATTATTATATCCCATGTAATTAATATATTAGTATATCGCTATTAACCTACTTCGCGTTGAATTTTCATCGATGTTAAGATTAACAAAAATTTTTTAAAATAATAATCGTCGCTATTGTATCGTTAAAAATTAGAAAATTAAGCCTCGTTTAAATACTGGCTCCCTTGCCAAGACATAGCCAAATATTGTAGCGCCACATCACTAGCGGACATTTGAAATTTGTCGACTAGGACGGTCGGTTAATCGGGGGTCGGATAAACGAGGCTCTACTGTATATACGTATTGCTGAATTAATATATTCATTTTAATATAAACGAATTATTAAATTTAACTTTTATTTCAATTTTTTTGTTTTGTTCAACGAAAGAACTAAATACACGAATCACTAACTATTTATAATATAGATCCTAAACGACAGAATAAATTCTTCAGTAAGATTTAATATTTTTCAAGATTTCAATTAAATAGGATTCATCAATCTTATACAAGTCGAGCTATATTTATTTTATACAATTTTCATAAAAAGTAATGTATAAAATTACTCTCTTATTTTAATACTTAGAATGGAAAATCTTTAAATAACCTCAGGCTTCCCTTCAACCGACTTAAATCTGTTTCTGATTTGTATGACATTAGTTCAAAAATTCTTTTTTTCATTATTTTGTATTATCGTTTGTATAATTTGAAACTATAAGCACACATTCATTGCACCCCCTTTATATTAGTGACTTTAAAATATTTACGTAATAATTTACTTATTGCGTAGAAATGGACTGATAGAGGAAGAAAGTGCAACATTTAGGTGATCTGCCTACCAGGAGTGCTTTCTATGTAAACTAGTCCTTATTTAGGTAAAAAAATTCCAGGAAACTCCATATAGTCAGCTCGTTGGTGGGGCGCGAACCCTCAACTAATTACCAGTATTTAGTGAGTGTATAAAAATGAAATCCCATCGTGAAAAGTTCTTGAAATATCAGGAAATTCTATTTATTTCTAATCTAACTTGTAAAGTAAAAAGGAGTGGAAAACGAATTCTGATAATTCATACTTTCACATTTTTCATGTGCATTCTCATTTTTTTAAAAATAATTTTATAAACTATATAAATCAAGAAAAATAAATGCATATTCCATATTTATTTATTTATTTACATTACTCGATATATATTTTAGTCGAATAATTACTATTGATTATTGAATATTTTAGGTAATCTTATCGCATGTGGTCGTTCTCAACCACTCGTCTTGAACGCTCCTTCAGGAACTATTTACAGTCCAGGTTATGAAAATAAACAAAAATATCCCCCAAGAACTCAATGCTCTTATTTAATCCATGCACCGGAAGGAGTAAGTTGATTTAAAATAATAAATTTAGAAGTATAATATATAAAAATATTAGCATTATTATAAATCGTGTCAATTTTCTCATAGCAAAGAGTACAACTGACTTTCAAAGATTTCGAACTCGACGTTGCAGAGCATTGCAGTGGCGACAGATTGTCAATACATGAAGGAAAGGACTTGAGAGCTCCAGTATTACATGTTTTATGTGGAAGCGAATTGCCAAGGGATGTTATGTCGGTAAAAAATGTAATGCTAATTGTATTCCAAACTGATTTCATGATTCAGAAGAGAGGATTTCACATAACTTATAAAATGACAACAGTTCCGAGTAAGAAAATATTTTAAAAAGATTTATTTAATAAAAATTCTAAATAGGATATATTATCATAAATATATCATATACGTTTTATTTAAATTGATATATTATATTAATTATTACTTTTATGCATTAGATAAATTTATTTAATTGAAAATTCATCTCGTAAAAAAATGAAATCGTAAAATTCCTATTATTATAGGCATTAGTCTATGAGCGTAATTATCGTGTTCAAGCTAAATTATTAACATTTTATTTAATTTGACTAAAATAATATTGAATTTTAATCAAAAATTCAAAAAACAAGTTAAAATGGCGCAGTAAATTAAAACTGATGTCGATGTTTAAAAAAGTCAAGCTTAATTCTAAATTAATTCATCTCGTAAAAAAATGAAATCGTAAAATTCCTATTATTATAGGCATTAGTCTATGAGCGTAATTATCGTGTTCAAGCTAAATTATTAACATTTTATTTAATTTGACTAAAATAATATTGAATTTTAATCAAAAATTCAAAAAACAAGTTAAAATGGCGCAGTAAATTAAAACTGATGTCGATGTTTAAAAAAGTCAAGCTTAATTCTAAATTATTCAAAATCGAAACAAAATTATATAAATAAAATTGCAACTCATCAAAACTAAAAATTCGTTATTTTCATTATTAAAAATGTAATGTTATAATTTATTACTGAAAAATAGAAAATTTATCTAACAAGGGAAGTTATGACGCCTTCAAGGATTTCAACAATATCGTTTGTATCGATAAGCCTTCATAGGAACTTTTATTAAAGAAAGTAAGAAAGCGCACAACATTTTTCAAGAAAATTGAAGTTAAAAAAATTTCGTAGTACTTGTAAATATTGCAAACTTACTCTAAAGATGAAAGAGGTGGTGATCGATGAGAATCTTTTACAAAACTTTACATCGAACATCGCGTAGTTAGGCGGCAGCGTAACTTACAGTACTGTATTCAAATTTGCAAGATCCGTGATTCTCGTCTGGATGGGTAATTTTTTTTTTCAAATAAATGCAATTTTTCTATAAAACAATTGTAAATTACGCAAGATTATACTGTAAATATTGTCAATTTGTTTTCTATTAAAAATGGGGCCCACCAGTGGTCAAGCGGTTCCGTTCCTTAAACACTGGGATTCGTTCATGGGTTCGTGCCTCATTAGGACGGACTGGCCACGTGGAGTTTTCAGGGTTTACTCCACGTCTATAACGTCTGAATAGGGGCCAGTTAACCTTAAAAAGACCTCCCGGAAAGGGAGACCTTTTTAATTAAGGGTAACTGGTCTCTTAGGCAGATCGCCGAAGTGTTGCGTTGCCGTAAATTAACAAACAAACAATTAAAAATATGCCTTTTCTCTCTTTTAAAATTTTCTTTCGAAATTGTTCTCTGTTAAAAATAAATTTTAAGTTTCTTTACATTTGGAAATATAAACATATTATGAATAATTTGACATTTAGGCAACTAAATAAATTCAAAGAATTATTAATTAAAGTACCTTCCAATATCACATTGTTTGCTGTTACATAAAACAATTCAATCATCTTTCAGTGTCATTATTCCAGTTCCTTGTTGATAATACCATACGTGTATTGCATAGCTAATAAAACAAACAGACAGTAAAAATAGTTGTAATGTAAGAATAATAAAGATCATAAACTAAAAATAATTAATTATTCGAGTTTTAAAAACAAATGTAAACATATTTTTAACGAAACAATTCCGAAAACGAATCGTCAAAAAAGAGAAAATGGAAATTTTGTCTTTCTTGAAAATGAATAGAGAATAGATAGATAGACAAAATGCATAAACCCATGTGATTTTACAATAACTTTTGTAAAAACTGCATTAATTTGAAAAAAAAATTATTCATCGAGACGCAATCGATCTCGCAAATACGAGTAAGATACGCTGCTGCAGAACCACATCTTCTATAGGAAATGCCACGAAATTCATCAAAAGTAGCTCGGGGTTTTCACTATAACTTCAATTTTCAGGTAAACGTTTGAGAAGCGCGTTTTCCTTTTGTCCTATAAAGCCTTATCCATACAAACACCAGAGTACCGAGGCTAATCCATACAAAAATTATTATTAAAAAACTCAAGAACTACGTCGCAATAATTGCCTTTATTAACTATTTGCTAAAACCAAACGCGTTTTTAATGACAAAACAATATATATTGTAAATCATATCTTGGCAAACTATAATTTAAAATCTGTAAAACTGTAATCACAACGTGCAAACTGTAATTGCATCTATTGATTAAAAACTCCAGGAATAAATTTCTTTTAAAACTAATTATCATCAAGCACAGTAGTTAATTAATGCCAAGAAATCAGAGCGCATACAGTATAGTCAGGAATCAGGAAATAGACAAGAAATTAAAGGTAAATCAGTAAATTTATAGTTTGTAAGATGATTAACTATTGTATATATATATTTGATATTTTTATGTCAAATTCATTCATATATAGTATACATATTGCGACTGATTATATTTTGATAGCTGTGTGCAATTACCCAAGTGAAGGAATGTGCAGAAATAGAAAATGCATACCTGCTTCGAAACGGTGTAATGGTGTTGATGATTGCGGAGACGGAAGTGACGAACAATGTCGTAAGTTATCATTAGCCTTTTAGCAACTGAAAATTATTTTTTATTCATCTTGAACTGATTTCATTTTACAGCAAACGTTGCTGTTCCTCCAAATCCTACTTGCGGAGTTCAGAAAATTTCTCCAGTTCTCAATTCAATGGAGGAAAGAATCATAGGAGGTCGAGAAGCAATACCTGGTAGTTGGCCTTGGCAAGTTGATCTGCAATTAAATTATGTAAATCCCAACGGACACATGTGCGGTGGTGCGATCGTAAATTCTCAATGGGTTATCACAGCTTCTCATTGTTTTCAGCCGTAAGTTTCACATCATTCTCTAGTATTAAACTACATAACGTCCCATAGTCATTCGATAGTCCGCAACGGGTTTTTAATTAATAAAGTCGAAAGAAAAAAAACGTGTAATATTTTGGGATTATGACAAATTGAAAGCAATACACTCAGTGATAAAAAAAAAAAAAGCTAAAATTCTTTTTAACTAAGATTGCTATGAAACTCGACTTACAGCTTAGTCTAAAGCAGTTACGTAAATCGTTACCGTTGTGGGTCGAATGTATGCTAAGTAATGCCAGCAAATTCCTTAAATTCGCTACTCCAGTCTCCAATAAGTGACTGGCTGACACTCATTGTGCTCAAATTTTCAGCGTACCTGTTGTTTGAAGATCCTCGAATTTTGGCATGACTGTACAACGCAGTCAAAAATTACGCAAGTTTTATGAAGCTATAGAAAACTGAGATACATCTAATTCCAATTATTATGACTAAAATATAATTGTAACTGGTATTGTAATTTTTCAGACAACCAAATAAACTTGCATGGCGTCTTCATTTTGGTAAGCACAATAAATTTACTGAAGACAAGACTGAAGTCGTTAGATACGTAGATAGATTAGTTATTTATCCTGATATTCCCGAAGAGACGGTGAGATTGCGTTTTCATAAAACAGAAGATTTTTAATGCCGAAAGTGTTAAATTAACCATTTTAAAATTTTTAGTTTATGAAAACAAGACAATTCAATATTCGAGATGATTTAACTTTGTTGAAGCTAAGTACTCCTATTAATTTCACCGATTACATACAACCAGTTTGTTTACCAACAAAAAATATGAGGTTCCCTGTTGGTACTGATTGCTATTCTACGGGATGGGGAATGACTAGAGGTAAGTTTATATATACACAGTATAAGCACGTTTTTTAGAATATGAGCTTAACTATAATTTTGAAATATAATTATTCAAAATTTTTACAGGATCTGGAAAAACTGAAGTTCTGAAACAAGTCGTGATGACAGTTTTGAATCCTTCAGCGTGTGTCGGTCCATTTATGCCTTTTAATCCGAATACCATGTTGTGCATGGGTGTCAGGAAACAAGGAAAAGGAGTTTGTCATGTGAGTATAAGATTTAAAAACATTTTAAATCTTAAATATAATTAAAGTTTTTAAAATAAACTTTTTATCTTGTCTTATAGGGCGACAGCGGTGGGCCTTTGGTATGCAAATATACTGACAACAAGTGGTATTTGGCAGGTCTTGTGAGTTTTGGTACCGATGCAAACTATCAATCTGGTTTATGCGCTATAGGACAATCCGCAACTTCTTTCTCTCATGTGGCAGTAAAAATTGATTACATTCAGCAAATTTTGAAAAAATACAGTTAATTTCATAGATGTTATCACAAATTTGAAATAAAATATTTTCAAATGCTTTTGATTTTAATCTGAATTTGAAAGATATTTAATATAAACATTTTATATACTCGTACTGTGCATTATTTATAAATATTTAAAATTAATTAATTAATGTACAGTACATAATATTTAAATTTATTTATTTAATATATAAAAATACGTATATATGTACAGTACTTAATAAAAATTACATGCAATTTAATTTAAATAATTACATCAAGATGTCCCAAAAGTTTCCATACATACAAAGGTGAAATGTAACTTTACTCATAAACATTAAAATGTTAAATTAAATTAAGATTTGTGTCAGTGGATTGACGGAGTAAGGCAACAAAACACATGGGTGGTCTGCCAATGGGGTAACTTCTATGTGGAAACTGGATTCTGTTTAGTGTTATACACTTGAAGAAAATCCAGAACATTGCATGGTGGCCAGCCCATTGGTCAAGCACGAACTAATTACCAACTACCAGTGTTCAATGGTTTTATTTATTCGGCCACTGATGGGCTTGATTTGTGTCACTGTATGGAGTCTTTTCGGACACCCTGTATTTCCTAATAAACCAATATAAGTATATATCATAGATAATAACATAAAAAAAAAACTTTAAAGAAAATAATTTAAGTAATTTGATTATAGAAGTCAGTAGTTGGTTTCGATCAATTTGTAATCGATCCAAAACTGTATATCGATAATCAAATAATTATTGAAACATAAAATTAATATTGGGTGTATTTTCATTTAATACAGCTCTTCACTTCATCACTTTCATTTAACTTTTCACCACTTTCATTTAACTTTTATGAATTTCAACATTTATTAAAATTAAGTGTAAAATTAAGTAAAATTATTTTTAAAAAGTAATGTTTTCAGTTAACATTCATTAAGGTACGTACTGTATTTAACCTAATGAATGTTAATTGTTCTATAAAAACATCACTATTAATTGTAATAAGATATTGGAATTTATAGAAGTTAAATGAAAACGGATGGTTTTCGCTATACTAGAGAATAATGGGTACATTTTCAGCATTATTAAGTTAATGTTTCATGTCAAAAAGTCTCGTTTAATCAAATAAGTCAAAGTGACAAGCATTGCAGACATTAAAAGGCATTACTAAAGGCACCAGTACCTTTAGTAATGTTGCTTTTCTGATTTTTATCATCATCTGTAAGATGATTCATTATACGACATAACTTCCACTTCTAAATCGGAAATTTAAAATATCAGTAAACTTACTGTTTTCCGTCGCAATTTTCCGTAACAGAAAATATACAAAAATATTCTGTTTACGTGTCGATTCCGTTTTTCGAAAATGTAGGATGTCCAATTTTTGGCAAACACAAATTCGAATAATGTTCTATTATCGGTGCCAGTGAAATGACATGAAAATGAATATGCCATTTCATGATGGACGGTAACGTAGCTGACAAGAAAGTATTCGCTGCTTATTTAAAATATTAATATAATGTTCAATTCCTTTCGTTTTGTGCATTATTTCTGAAGTATAAAAAAAAAGTCAAATTACGAAAAAAGTTTTGGATGAGATCATTACTTCCCACTATTTATGTCTCGGTGAACGATGTCATTTGTTATTGGTTTCAAAAAAAATCCCGTTTCTGGATTTCGTATAGGAAAAGTTAAACATTGTTAAACTTTGTTTTCTGAACCGTTTTTCTTTTCCATAGTACATTTCCCTAAGTAGTAACGTGGCTTGATAAGTGTTACTTTTAAGAAAACAAAAACTTTGTATAATTTTCTATTATTAAAAATGAGCAAAATTTATTTATTATTTTTACAATAGACGGGAAAAATCCCGAAACACAAATGATAACCGCCAGTCTCCAAAAAACTAATAATAATAATAATAGGAATCAACAAGCATGCATAAAAATTATTTGGCTAAACAATAATTCCTTGGACTTGTATAGAAAATCGTCGCAACTGGTATTACTGCCACCACCATAGCAATTCTTTTCATCAGAGCCATCTTCACAATACACGTTTCCATCCCACCACCATTTGAGAAGAAAACAGCAGCTTTTATTCTTACAGTAAAATTTGTCATTAGGACAAGTCTTGATGATAGCTTTATTCCCACAATCTTTTCAATCTTTGTTATTTCCGCAATTGTTTTTTCCTATTGCATACGTATATATACGAATTACACTCGCCATTCCGACAATCAATCCAGTTCAATAGACATTATTTTTGACCAAAAGTACTCGAAAAGAAGGAAAGAACAATTAACCAGACAATAAGACATTATAAATTTCATATATTTACTCCAATCCCCATTGTAATCAACAGTTGATAAACTGATATTGTCAATTTGCCGAATATTCGAATGATTCAAAAATATGACGAACCAGAAGTATATTCAGGGAAAGTCAGAAGACAATATGCAGGGTAGCCATAATTAAAGTTTCTCCATTCAGAACACACTGTCGCTGTAACCAATAAGCGGATTGATGCCAAAATTTGTATACTGGCTATGTAAAGTATACCGAAAAAATTCTTGCAAAAACAAAATAATTAGTTCAAAAACTTCCGCTAGGGGGCGTTCTGTATATCCAAAACACTGAGGCTATTGGGATCCATAATTATATTTTTGTATATCTACCTTAAAAATTACACGCAACCATTCTATTCTAATGTCGACATATGCTATATATGTGCCAATCTACCAAGGTTTGTGTGTTTCTCGACTATCCAGATACTGGTCCTGGTCTGAATTAGTGAAATCGACAATCGTTCATAAAGACTAGGCCTTTTATATACATAACACTATTTCTCAACTTTTTATATATCTTTAAAGCTTATTATTACTATCAATCAATATTTCTACTTGATAATTTTAAAATGACGTACTTTCATCACCACTTTTCTTCCCGGTGTCGATTAATAGAAATATTTTTTCAAGTAGCCTAACAATTTTCCTACTATATTTTCGGAAACAAGCAAATTTCCATTGAATTTCCTCTATTAGTTTGAAATTTGGGCAAAAACTAAGTAAGAATACCTTAACAATTCAGTGCTTGTCAGTGAATACTTCGTATCATAAAAAATGCTAATTGTAATTACTATGAAGATTAATTTTTCATTTATTAATAATGTATTCGTAGTAATCAGTAAATGAATAGCACAACAAATCAATTAGTTAATATTAATAATACCGAATACAGGTATTAACATTAAGTGAATTAATGTGTATATATATATATATAAAACTTTAAAACTGCATACGGTACTATTTTCGAGAATTATTATTACATTATTAAATATGCTTATGTATAATTTAAAATAATAATTATTGAAATCAATAAAAATTTGAAAAGAAAAATACAAAATCAAAAAACATGTTATAATGAGAAAACTAAAACTCTTCAAAGAAATATAAAGGAAAAAAAAATTGTTTTTGTTGACTTTCTCCATTAATCATGCTTGTCCGTCATAATCTTGGTTTCATCTTAAAATATAACTCGTAAACTTAATCATCCTTGTATATCAGACATATCTGAAACTTCAGTTTTATGATTTTTTNTCATGGACAAATTCAAATAGTTTAATTAATAAATTATTAAATTACAGTGATAATTTACAGATTCAAATTACTTAACTTGCAATGAACTGAACTGAGAGATTTTTTAATTAAAAATTTATGATGTGTTATATGTTTACACGTTATACATAAGCAAATAATAAATAGTGTAGAAATCATTTTTATTTTGACTGCTAGCAATACAAGTAGAGCGTCGTTTATCCGAAAGTCGGTTATCCGAAAGAATTCCAGTCTGCCTAAAGTATAAATTTATTTGTTTTTATATTTTTCAATGTATTTATTTCGTTTGTAAAACATAAAGAAATCATTTTTAACGATACAATAACCACGATTATTATTTTAAAAAGTTTACGTTAGGCTTAACATCGACGAAAATTCAACGCGAAGCGACACGCAACGGAGAAAAATTTCAACACGGGATAGGTTAATAATTTTTTCGTACATAATCGGTTATCCGAAAAATAAGTTATCCGAACAACCCGTCCCCAATTGATTCGGATAAACGACGCTCTACTGTATATCAAACACATATTAACAACCAAAGTGCAATTAATTCACTCGATGCCTTTCGAACAAGGATATACAGTGTATTTACAAGTTATACTTCAACTTTGAATAGCATGAATAAAACAACAAATAAATTCCTAGTTGAATATTGGACGAACTTTGTCAAATAATATTGCCTTTCAGATGATTATGATTTATGATCCTATTTGCCATAAATTATAAATAAATAAATAAATATATATATATACACATGTATTCACATATAAATTAAAATACAATATTTATGTATTTTATGTAACTCATATTTTCTTATCTATAGACACATGATGTAATGTATGCATAATGTGTGTCTAAACAATACATGTAAATATCCATAGACGTATAATACATTGTTAGAAACATTTTAAAAAATGGATAAAATCAAAATATTTCAACTCTACTGATTTTTTTTTTCGATTTGAATGCTGATAGCATTAGTTATAAAATTTTATATGTGTCATATTTTCAATGCTTCTATCACTCATTCGTTAAAAATTTATAGCGTACAGTGAGTGTTATTACATATAATTTTAAATGCTTGGATTCTACATATACAATGATGAATGATAAATTGATGAAAACAATAATTATTATTTGTAAAGAAAAATTGTAAAAATAAAAAAAATAATAATTACATTTTTATTCCTTCTCAGCCCATTTTGAATTAATTTAAATTATAAAATAATATTTATCAATTTGAAAATATATTTCATCAGCTTAGATCTAAAAAGATATAATTTTTAAGGTTCCTAACGTTTTACTTAATGTAATGCATTAAAAATATGAAAATGTAAGATTAGAATTTTTAATTTCTTCCTCTCAATGAACTGAGAAAAAAATTAGTAAAGAGGGGAAAAAAAACTCGGAGATATGGATGATTTAATCTTTCAAGAAAAAAACTTATTTTCACAAACGGATAAATGCATCTGTGATTTAAAATTTAAATGTAACAAATAAAAATTAATTTTCTTTTAATTGTATACAACAAAATCATATCTAAACGTAACAAAAATTCAATAGAAATATACTTACATATAATTTTATATTTAATAAATTTTATTATAAACGTTTGCGTGACGTAATACAAAAGATTTGTTCCTTTTCAACAAGTAATACGTATTTTTTACTTTTTCAAATTATAATAATTAAGTAGAAAATCGTTTAAGATGTGATTTCCTTATCCATTTAACATAATATCAAATTCGACTTTAATTATAAATCGTTAAAATTTGTGCATCCCATAATTAAATGGCGAAAGTTGTTCGCTTTATGAGCATCAAATTGCACAAATCATTAAGTGATGCATTTACAATTGGAGCAGAAATGAAAAAAAACTTAATTCGAATAATAAAAATTGTTTATTAGGTAAATTTAGCTAAATATCAAATTTGCTTAAGTATCTTCGAAAATATTTCTATTAACCAATATGTAAAATGTTTTGACAATTATATAATATACATTTATTTATTTAAATAAAACATACAGCATTTTTTATTATTATTTATAAAATATCTATCTATAATAATATTTTATTTAAAATCGTTGTAGTTAATACGATATCTACGTATATTAACATAAAAATATATTGTTATATTTATGTAAGTTTTAAGTATTATAAACAATGTTTTTATAAACATAATAATAAGTTTATAAAATAAATACTTTGGAAACAGTATTCAAATGAAATATTGATTATTTAGTTATTAATTTATAATAATAGTAGTAGTAGTATTAATAATAAGTTTATTATTATTATGTATTTATGTGTGAAACTATATAACATTACAGCAACAAGCTAAATCTAAAAATAATTTATATTTAATAGTATTTTTGTTTAAATTACTGTATTATTATTAAAAAAAAGTTTAAATATACCTTTAGATATGCATAAAATATTACATATGTCATTTAAATTATACATGTATTTAGAATAATTTAATAAGCTGTATTAAATATATAATTATATAACTACAAAATAATCACACATATATAATAATTATTATTTATAATATATTTTTTATCCATGATTTCATGACAATATATTTGCGAAATGTCAAAGTATTTTCCAAGTTCATCAAAGTACAGAATACCTTAATTAGCTTATAAAAATAAAACAATTAAGTGTTAAATATTACAAATTGTTTTATTGATGTGCAATAAAACAAAATGATTTATAAAACTAAAGAAGTCGGAAATCCGATTTTAAAAAATAATGCCAAATGTATCTATTAAAACTTGTAGTACACTTCAGTCTTGTCACTATTGACCTACTTAGCGAGTGTGCAAATTGCTGTCACTAACATCTGTGACAGTAAATTCAAGCAACTTTAAATGAATGTCTAAAGTTCTTCTATCCGAAAAATAAGTTATCCGAACAACCCGTCCCCAATTNTTAAAATTTATTATTATTATTATTATTTTCATATTTGTAAGCTAAAAATAAATTCAATTCAAGATTTGCCTGTCTTCATTTGATTAAATTTATCAAGGAAAAACTATTTATTATTATTTAAAACAGGGAAAAAATAAAATTTTTGTAAGTGATAGTTCATTGAATTTTATTTTTTTAAACATTTGATTTGATTTTGAAAATAATTGATATATAAAAACAATATAAATATAAATATATATGCAACAATTTACTGTCTGTTCACCTTCTAAATTGAAGAAGTGAAAATAAAAAATAAATAAATAAAATTTTGTAAAGTTTATTCAACTTCACTTTAAAAATAATTATTAAATTATACTTTTATTATAATCTCAAATAGTTTTTATTCTAAATTAAACATATTAGTTAAAATTATAAAAATAATTTAAATAGAGTTAAACCCAATAGCCTATTATAATTTCATCGAAGATTTAAAGCTGTAAAAGATGTTTAATTATGATATTAAGTACACTTTTTCTGTTTAGTTGATGTGTATTTATACATATAATAATATAAATTTAAATCAAAATTATATCAAGGAGTTATAATAGTAAAACGACTTAATATTTAGTAAAATATTTAGTAAAATGATGTTAATGAGTCATTCACCTTCTTTCAGTCATCTTAATTTTCACTAATTGAGAACTTTCGTAGTGTTTATTATATGCTTTAAACAATTTTATTGCTACATATAATGTTTGTAATTGCTTTATTTTCTACATGTGTAGAAAACTTTTTAAACGAAAAAACAATAAATTTTATATTGGTAGTAAAATATACAGAAAACTATCATTGAATGGTGAGGAAATTTTTCGTTATTGGCCTAAGAAAGTAAATTGCCAATAATTAGCAGAAATAAACTATTAAGATCAAAACTAATATAAAAATGGATCAAATTCTATCAAATAGTTTATTTAAAATTTTCTATTAAGAAATATTTTAATTTGTATTCATATTCGGCACATATTAACGAATTAATTTAACGAGAAACTGAATAAAAATACATACGTATACATATATATAACACATTAGTTTTTATCAAGTTGAAAAAATCAAAATTTAAAAGTAAACATATTTTATCGCTTATATTTTTGGAATTTGTAATTATAATAATTTTTGTTCGTAACGATTCTAGTTTATTAAGTATGATGATTTATTCGATAAAATTCCAATACCTACATTATCCAAAACATTACTATCAGGATGACATAATTTATTGTCAATAAAGTTAATGTTGTTTTATTTTTGTACAATAGCGCGATGAATGCAACCAGTTGTATCTTGTCCCCAACAATGATTTAATAGAAGGACAGCGACTGACTTGATGCATCACTGACTCCATTTACGACACACCAACGCCTCATAAAAAACGATATCACCCGTTTCAAATTTCCTACAGTTTCGTTCTGTAAAATTCTTTTTTCCGGAAATAAAAATTTCGGTGTTTGCCCCCGTCAGACACCAACATGACAACAGTTACCTCCCGGAACCCCTCGATAGGTATATAACAGCTAGCACCACGTCAGACTTAGCACTAGTCAATTGGGGATAAACAACAGAAGTAATTTACTTTCGAATATGTTCTTCCCCTGGTATCTCCGGGTAAGTCTTACTAAACATAATATATTAATGATTACATTTTCTAAACTGAAACTTATATTTTCATAGGGTCAACTCTACACTTTTGGTGTGGTGTGTCTCTTAATTTTTGTAAGCGGTGAGAAAGAAGATGACAAAGATTTAGTTGCAGTAGGCAGCGATCTTATATTTTCAGCATCTCATCATCACCATCATGGTCATCATGACGGTGGTCACGAAGAATGGGATCATCACGATTCACACTGGAAGAAAGGGCATGATGACCACGGAGACCATGGACATGGCCATAAGCATCACCACGACGAACATGGACACTGGCATAAGCACGGAGGCCACGGCCACCATGATAAAGGCCACCATGGATTCGATAAGCATGGAATGCATCATAGTGGCCATGATCATCATGGGCACGATCATCATGGAGGACACCATCATAAACAATGGCATGGACACGGATCGCACGGACACAAACATGGTGGGCATAGTCACAAGGATCGAGGCCACAAAAAACATGGCTTTAAAAATGTTTATCATAAAGAGGAACATGGTGATCATAAATCTTATCACGACCACGAGCATGGTGGACATTTCCATAAAAATCATAAAGAAGATCACCACCATCATAAACATCACGGTGATAAATATCACAAACATCACCATGGTAAAAAGCATCATTCTGATCACGAACATGGCCACAAATATCACAAGCATGGTCATGGAGGACATCACCATCATCACGGAGATGACTGGAAAAAGGGAGGAAAACACCATAAGGAACATCACGATCATAAACATCATGGGGGACATCATCATCATGATCATCACGAACATGGTGGTCACGGACACAAGCACCACGAACATCATCACGGACATCACGGAGGCGGTGGCGGCGGCGGCGGCGGACATGGACACCATCATGGTGGAGGCGGCGGAGGTGGCCATCATCATCATCATCACCATCATTAACACACAAACACTTATTCAAATGTTTTATACGAATTTCTTATATGGACATTTAAATCACTACCTAAGAAGTGTTACGAAGAGAATAACTGTACATAAGGTAAAGTTAGCAACGACTTTATTTTATATATAATTAAATGAGCTTTATGGGGTGATGGATAACGCGTTTTAAATTAGCATTAAAAAGGTCACTGAGCTAATTTATAACATAATAACCATCTACACATCAAAGGATATCTTATACTCTTTTATAATTGTTTTATATTATATTATTGTTGGTTATTAATCTAGCTGCTTGTTAATAAAATCTCATTTTAAATTATAATTTTTGTGTCCTTTTATAATTGTAATCATTCACATTTTCGGAAAAATTCAAACAGTGTTTTATGTTGTACAATAAAACTTAAAGAAGAAAAGTTATCTAATTTTTTGAAATTATTTACATATTTTCATAATCAAGAAATGGAAAGAAATATATTTCATTTGTACTTATTAATTCACAAGAAGAAATTTAATGAAATCGTGTGTAAAAGAAACTACAGTACATTGTGTCATAAGAAAACAAGGAAAATTCTATATTTATTTTCTTCATAATTATTGTTTCTAATGATAAGTAACCTAATAACTTTCTGATGATATATTCTATAATTTTTTATGAGTATAGAATTGTATCATCAAATGATTTTTTTCAACTTGATTTTATCAACACTTCCTCGCATATTTGCATGAGTAATTTTGAACTACATTCTGGTACAATGTATTCGTTCGATTTTCTACATTTATAAACACAAGATACAAATACAGAAAAACAATACAAAAAAGATATTTAAATATAAACACACTATATTAAGATTTATATTTTTATTTAAGTAAAAATATAAATCTTAAACTTTATGAACCTATATTATTAGTATAAAGTATTAGTATTAGTATAGATACGCTAATGTAAAATTTTCTTATCATTTCGGATCCTGATATTTTAAAAATTCATATCAAACTTCTAATGGCAATTTTCGAAACATTTAGCTAAATTAATTATGAAAAATCCTACTACAATAAATTAAAAATATGAAATTATAACTGACAAAATTATATTTCTTTCTAAATAAATTTTAATGTTATTATTCAATAAAGTATTAGCACATCTATTTTAAGAAGTAAAATTAAACTTCAGTTATGATATAAATATTTAAAAGTTCGTTAAGTGTTATATATATATATATACATACATATATATAAATTAATTGCATTACTTAAAGGAAATCAACGAGCATTAAGTACTTATCTTTTGAAAAAAAGTTTTAACTGTTATTAATAACTAATAAAATTTCCCTATCCATAAAGATATGCATCATTACATGAAAAATAATAAGCTTGCTTGTTCTGCCTTCTTAAACACAATGTTTTTTGTGTATTATTTACATTTATTTCGAATATTATTTTATTACAATTTTTAGCATTTTTATTTCGTACTTATTAATTTAGTTAGTTTTAAAATCTATCTTTTCTGTACAAAATACAATATACTTTTTAGGTGTGAATAATCAATACACTTATTTTCAAAATTTTAAATACTATGTTATCATTTTATATTCTGACAAATTTACTCATTTTTGAATGTATAATGATTATACACATCTCCAAAACTCACTAAAATAGCGTGAGTAAATTAAATTCCCTTTCACTTTCCATTGAAAATAGAACTATTCAATGTACAATTTCTCACACTTTGAACTTATCAACAATGTAAAAAAACGTGTATTATGATTTGTTTTACTTCATGAATCTGCTTCTGTCCTGGATATTGGGGCATGTCCGAGCCTATGACAGGATGACACATTTGGCGAACCGTTTAGATGATGTCGAGTATTTAAAGTGACTCTTTCCTCTTACACTTAGCAGTTATAATAAAATATCGACGGATTAGTAAATTGTAAAAAATAGGATTTATCTATTGAGTAGTCAGGGCATCTGTATAGCATGATGCTTTTGCCTACTAAAATCTGGGTAAGTTTAATTTTATTCTGATTTACAATATTTTACATGATTATTAAATTGGTTATTTTATTTTTTAGAGTCGAATTGGATTAGTTTTAGTTGCTGCTGCTTTATGTAATAGTCAGCCATTACTAAAAGATGATGAAGAAATTGTTAACGTCGAGGTTGTAGGAAAAGAAAAGGCAGCTAATGATTTAGTAGCGGCAGCTTCGCATCACGATCACGATCACCATGATTCTTCTCATGGTGAAAAATATGAGCATGAGGATCATAGTTGGAAAAAACATCATAGTGAACACGAAAAACACGATGAAGGACATAAGCATCATGACGGTGAACATGGTGATTGGGGAAAACATCACGATCACCACGAGCACGATGAAGGCCATCATCACGATGATGAACATGGTAAACATCATAAAGGTCATCATCACCATGATCACGATCATGATGGTGAGGAGCACCATGAAGAACACCACGGACATGGCCATCACCACCATAAACACGGAAAGCATCATCATCACGACCGTGGGCATAAAAATCACGGATTTCATAAAGTGTATCACAAAGAAGAGCAAGGAGATCATGACTCCTACCATGATAATCATCATGAGGGCGACCATCATGATAATCATCATGAAGATCATCACCACCATAAGCATCACGGAGCTAAGCATCACGATCATCATCATGGAGAAGAACATCACCACGATAAAGAACACGGCCATCATCATCACGATCATGTTAAAGGACACCATCATCATGATCATGGACACAAACACAAGAAAGGAGGTCACCATCATCATGAAAGCCATGATCATGGTCATAAGGGACATCATAACGACCACGAAGAGCACGAACACGGTGGACATGGCGAAAAACATTATGAAAAACATGGCCACAAGGATAAACATCATCATCATCATTAAAATTTATTTTAAAACGAAGGTTAGGGACTTAAAATTGATTCCAGATAATCTTTAATTTATAAAAGGGCAGGAAAAGCAAGTCAAGAATCATTTGATAAAAATTAATATTTAAAAAAATTTTACTTATTATTTTAAAAAGCTTTATGTTTACTAGTCACTTAATATTCATTTCATCATAAAAACTGCTTAATTATCGCTTGAAACATCTTCCAATTGTATATCTATTCGGTTAAATAAATACTTTTATAGAGATACTTTTCTTGATGAAATTTTTCTGAAAATTTATTTTTATTAACCATGCAATAATTTACACTGTTGATTAATTCTCACGTTATAAAATATTTTTAACATAAATGAAAATATAAAGCTACTAAAATTGAATATAAAACTTTAAAACTGCATACGGTACTATTTTCGAGAATTATTATTACATTATTAAATATGCTTATGTATAATTTAAAATAATAATTATTGAAATCAATAAAAATTTGAAAAGAAAAATACAAAATCAAAAAACATGTTATAATGAGAAAACTAAAACTCTTCAAAGAAATATAAAGGAAAAAAAAAATTGTTTTTGTTGACTTTCTCCATTAATCATGCTTGTCCGTCATAATCTTGGTTTCATCTTAAAATATAACTCGTAAACTTAATCATCCTTGTATATCAGACATATCTGAAACTTCAGTTTTATGATTTTTTCTTAACAATTATAACTCTTAATCATAAAATACCAAACATTGATAAGTCAGATCATTAAACAAAAATTAATATTTTCCTAATAATAAAATATTGAAGTGCTTTCCAATAAATTTAATTTGATAAATATTTATATTTCTTACTTATTTTAATTTATTACAAGCGAAAATTTTACATTTAATTTAATGTGTACCATACGTTTGTAAACGCACGGTACACATTAAACGTAATTAAAACTTGAATTTATAAACAAACATACTCTAATAAGTAATTTTTAAAATTCAGCAGAATAATTTGTTTTTAAACAAATCTTAATAATAATTAATTACCATTATTATAATTAACATCATTCAATTAAACTTCACTAAATTTCCCTTATTATTTTCATAAAATCATCAAAGCTATCAAGACGAAGTGGAGTAATATAATCAAACTACAATATTGAAGTTACGATCTAATTAACCTTTCCTATATTTGTACACGAACTACGCAGTTTTATTACAAATAAATAAACCCATGATTTTAAATATTTAAAAATGTTATAATATAATTATCAAACTGACCTCGTATAATATAATTGTTACAGAATTTATTATATAACGTATAAAATCGCAAAACAGAAATGCGATTTACACGGTCTTATTATTTAAAAATCAAAAAATTTTTAAGTTTTATTATTTGCATTACAAGGGTAAAAATTGAAATAATACATTATATTCTCAGAATTTAAAAAGGTTGAGGTTTAAAAAACAAAAGTAAATACATTTTAAGAATGTAATCAAAACAGATGACGATCGCACTTATACAATCACTTAATTTATGTATATACAGTATTATATAAATTAAGTGATAAATTTGTAAACGTGAATGCAAAGAAATGATTCACTGCGTATAAAAATCCAGCAACGAGTGGAGTAACTTTTCCGGCAAAAAAAAATTATCAATTTAGTGGCGCCATCTGTTACGATATTTTATTAAAAGAAACTTTTTACATTACTAATTATTATATATTAGTATAATACATTTTATTATATACAGTAATATAGAGTATTATATGTTTAAAAAAAAAGTGTAAATGCAAATAATTAGTGAAATCTTTAATTGCGACTCTACTCACCAGTCTGTCTCCAACCCCTCAACCTTTAACCACCAAAATTTAATAGCATAAATTTCCCTAATACACAAATCTCCCTGCAAAATTTCAGAAATTTTCGACAAGAGGCACAGGAGTTATTAAGTTTCAAAGTGGGTGAGCAAAATCGTGCCCCCAACACAAAAAAAAACAAAAAACATCCGATGTTTTTTGCATTTCTCACGTTTCAGGGTTCCTAGTCAAAAAATGTAACTCTTCAGAGGTCAATTTTTGACCGATCGCCACGTTTTCCATCTGTTATAGGCTTACAGTATATAACAGCCGGGAAAGTAAAAACAAACCTATTAACAATTTCTCGTTCTGATATTGGACCCCCAATTGTATAATATACAGTAAGACACAGAAATCTCATCTTGTAAACAAAGTTTTGGTATTAATGCATAATAATAATATGTTTTCTATATACTTTAGATATATTAAATCGGATGTCAGCAAATTTAAATCAGAAATCTGCATTTTAATTTAAACGACGTAATACGCGTTATATTTGCTAGCGTGATAATTTATAAGCGTTTAATATTTTATATAGTTCATTATTAAATAGATATAAATTTAAAGTTGCCTTCAGTAATGAAATAAAAAAGTGAACTTTTCAGCAGCAAAGATCTTTTACAAATTCAAGCATACCTACTATAATTTTTATTATTATACGAGGACAGATCAAAAAGTAATGACGCTACACAGAAAGAAACGACAAATTGATTTTGAATCAACATTATTTACATGCTGATTTTCAAAATATCTTCCTCCGCGCGCAATTCACTTGTCCCAGAGTTGCACTCACTTGTGGAAGACAGGCTACATAAATACCTTCTATGAAAGATTATTTATTGAAATGACGGATACATAAATATTTTTCGAGTTCTTGAAAAAGCCAGAAGTCACATGAAGCAATATCAGCTGTTAGGAGAATAAAGGATGCTCTGTATGCTATCTTTGTCCAGAACGTCTTGCATTTCGCGGGCAATATCGTCGTAATGAAGATTAAAACTACTACGTAAGACATTTGCTCAATATGGGCCGTTTACGATGTTATTATGTTTCGTAGCATGTAGATAAACGATGCCCTCATAATCAAACAAAACAGTTATCGCCATCTTACCTGTCGACTTAATAGCTTTTGTTTTCTTTGGGGTGATGAAGAAAGATGTTTCCATCCACTGTTTTGTTATTTCTTGATGGAATTATAATGATATGCTTTCTTCTACTGTGATAATGGTTTACAGAAAGTTTTACCATACACGCGACGTCTGACTTTCAGTTACATCACTTATCACAGTACTGTACATAAGACCTAAAAGTGTATTAATGATTACTTTCACGTTTTTGTAGGAAATTCATTGAATTTTCTATGATCTACCTTGATAATGACTGCAGTCATATTAAGTATGATTTCTGTCGTCGGTGCTGAAGGTCTCCCTTTAGTGAACGATCTTCTACCCTTTCCCTTCCTTCGCTGAATGTTTTTTGCCAGCAAAACCCGTGCTATCATTTTATCTCGAAAAACTGCTGCAAGTTTTTGATCCCAATTTCCCCAAGCACACACAAAATTTAATTGTATAGCGCTATTCCAAAGATGCTTCCATTTCAAACTACTGTTTCTCGTAAACTTCATGCAACGAGACTACGTTTATAATTAAACGACATCAAGTGACAAACAGGAAACCAAGGAAAAGTAGCGCCATCTCTCCAGTTTTCCCATTAAAACATATGACTTCATTTCCAAATAAAGTTTACTTCTGGGCTTTATGTTGCACATGTGGGAACATTAGTGTCATTACTTTTAGTCTAGTCAACGTACTTTTATCGCAAACTATACACTGTACTGTACATGCCTTTACTAACAAGTAAATCAAAGTACTAAATATGTATTTGCCTTCACAAGTACTAAAAAGAGAGTAGATATCTTTCTACACAGTAAATATTTGAACTGCAACTAGTAATTTGCATCCCGAGATATTAAACGAAATAGATACCAACACACATTCATATATTTTTTTTACTTTTTGACATTTTTGGATTCTGACGGTCTCAAATCATGGAGATTTGCAAAAAACTAGGAGGGTCGAATTTGATACGATTCAAACACTTCCCCTTGTTACGTACCAGTACATATCATAGCCGGAAAAGTAAAAAAAGATAGAATAGAAATACAAATACAAATACCAATCAAGAAAACTGGAAAATATAGTACATCTTTCTTTTTTTATAAGATCTAATTACATTTATCTATGGTATCATATAGTTCAAACAGTATTTATAATGACGTAACTCGATTTCATGATACTGAGCCAGCCTATTCTTCATAGATTATTTACAAGTAGATTCCCCTATAACACTGTTGATAATTCCGTGTTATATGAACTCCATGTTGTACGAGTCACTTAGATTTTACAAATACGAAAGCCGTTCACAGCCCGGCACACGTATTTGTAAAATTTAAGTGACTCGTACAACATGGAATTCATATAACACGGAATTATCAACAGTGTTATANCAAATACCAATCAAGAAAACTGGAAAATATAGTACATCTTTCTTTTTTTATAAGATCTAATTACATTTATCTATGGTATCATATAGTTCAAACAGTATTTATAATGACGTAACTCGATTTCATGATACTGAGCCAGCCTATTCTTCATAGATTATTTACAGTATATTCCCCTATAACACTGTTGATAATTCCGTGTTATATGAACTCAATGTTGTACGAGTCACTTAGATTTTACAAATATGTGAGCCGTTCACAGCCCGGAACACGTATTTGTAAAATTTAAGTGACTCGTACAACATGGAATTCATATAACACGGAATTATCAACAGTGTTATAGGGGGGTCTACTGTACAGTAATTACGTCACTATAAATACAGTTTGAACTGTATGATACCATAGATAAATGGCTAACATACAACACTTAATTACACTTCATACATTCACCAAATGTTTTATATCAGTGGTAAAAGCGTGGATCCGTAGCATTTTGCAGTAAAATTCTACGGTATTAAGTATTAATATGAGTAGGCCTATAACAATTAGGCTTATCACTGATTTAAATATTTAGATTCATTTCAAGTAAATATCGAGATAAAAAACTCATAAAATACGTACCATGTCTAACATTTCCCTTTCTGTAATTATTACAAGAAGTAATAATGTAAATCTGACTTGAAAAGTTGAAAATTCGGCCACAGAAAAATGAACTTTTACACGTCGCCATTTACAAAGCAGACGATATCATTAAATCGGATGTCAGCAAATTTAAATCAGAAATCTGCANTTGCGCTTTCAATTTTAATTCGAACAAATTTTTTTTTAATTTTTTTAAAATTAATAATTAGCGCATTAATTGTGAAAATAAATTATCGTATCATTTTAAATATTTTTAATTTAGAAACACGAAACTTTATACGTTAAACCCGCTGATAATCATAGACATTCCTGTGTTATAAAGTAGAACATCCATAATTAAGAAAGTAATATTTATATTTTTAATTTATATTATTTATTTAAAAATAAGATGATGATTAGAATTAAATTTACAAATTAAAAATTATCACTAGAATAAGAGTTTATATCGTTCTTTAGTAAATTTTTATTCGATGTCTATGATACATTCGCTAGAGTAATTCGAAGTTTCTATTAATTGTCACTAGATTTTAGTCGATTCGGTTTAATAAAAATAAAAATAAAATATTTTAATAAAAGTGCTAAAGTTTATAAGTTATCGGCAACTAAGATAAATACCAGTAACATAACCAGGATGGGGCTCGGTATCCGAACCTCTCATCTTTGAAAATAAATAAATTTTTAAAAAATCAAATAAGTACAGAAGAATATTTGATGTGACAAACCCACTTATACGTATGTATATGCAATATCTAATACTTTATTCACAGCGCTAATGGTTTGGTTTATTTGTTTACGACAACGCGACACCTGGGCGAGTGTTTCTCGGGAGGACTTTCTTTGTGAAACCGGTCCCTATTGTTACAAATGTGAAAATAACCCGGAAAATTCCACGTGGAAAGTCTGTTGGCGAACCCACGACCGAGTACTTCAGTGGTTTTATTCACTCCTTCACTGGTGGGCTACAGCGCTAATGGCTACATCCACAGTGATACAGGAGTGAATGTAGATTGGCACGTTCTTATTCCTCATAATATAAATTCTAGTTACATTACTAATAAATATAAATGTTTTTCGTTACTATAAAAACCTGATTTAACGAATTAAAAGTGGGATCTGTAACTTTGTCAATCACAGTCCGAACAATTTATTAAAGAGAAATTGAGTGATTATTTGAAGTCAAAGAAATTCACAAGAAGGATATTAAGTATAGTAGTATATATGTTTAAATCTTTAACATAAATGAAAGTTATTTAATAGAGACTCGGTAAAATCGGTATTTATTAAATACGAGAAACAAAGCGAAATTTTATAAATATAAAGTTTATTGTTTGTTTTTCTTTAAGGTACTTCAAAAGATTGATTTTTGCAGTTCGCCATTTTAGGCATAATACAAATTATTAAGATGCAGTTCGAAAAATATTCATCCCCGTAAAATACTCGATAGAAAATAAAATTATTCAAAACTGAAATTATTTATTAAAATATGTTTTATTAAAAAACTGTGTGTATTGCTTACATATTTTTATAGAAAGCGAAGCTCAATAAAGCATAATATTGTATACAATAACCTATTAATATATAATACAGAACAAAACAGATTATAAACATCTTCCAATGTTAATATGAAAGACAATGGTTTCAATTTTACAAAACTGACAGAGTCCTCCTGCTAGATCCTCCTAAGAAAGCTCGAAACATGATGTTCCTATCTCTTTCTTTCCATATAAAACTTGTAGCGCAAAAAGCATGGCAAACGATAAATACAGAACACGTAATCCAGTCCATTTGTTAAAACGTTCTCAGATATAAATTAGTGATGACCATGTCCTCCGTATCCTCCGTGATGTCCACCATATCCCCCGTGATGTCCACCGTGTCCTCCATGATGTCCGCCGTATCCTCCGTGGCCGCCACCGCCACCTCCTCCACTACTGCCGTGGTGTTTGTGACCGTGTCCTCCATGTTCGTGATGTTCGTGATGATGATGGCCACCTCCGTGTTTATGGTCGTGGTGTTCTTTGTGATGATGTCCGCCCTTCTTCCAGTCTCCTTCGTCATGATGGTGATGTCCACCACCACCGTGCTTATGGTATTGGTCACCGTGTTCATGTTTATCATGGTAGCCTTTACCGTGATGGTGCTTGTGGTGCTTGTCTCCATGAAATTTATAAGATTCATGATGATCCTTATGTTTCTTATGATGGTCGCTATCCTGGAAGTTATCGTGGTAAGATTTGTGATCTCCATGTTCTTCTTTGTGGTAAGTATTTTTAAATCCGTGCTTCTTGTGACCGTGATCTTTGTGATGGTGGTCTCCAGATTTGTGTCCGTGATGTCCGTGACCGCCCCATTCTTTGTGACCGTGACCTCCATGATGATCGTGGCCGGAATGATGATGACCTTCGTGATGTTTGCCAAATTTATCGTGATGATGACCACCTTTGTCCTGATGACCGTGTCCACCGTGTTTGTGCCATTCTCCCCAATCATCTTCGAAATGTTTGTGGCCGCCACCGTGTTCACCGTGTCCACCGTGTCCCTTCTTCCAGTGACCTTCATGGAAATCAAAGTGGCCACCTCCACCACCTCCTCCTCCGCCACCATGATGTCCATGATGACCCGATTCGGCAGCTATCAAGTCACTTCCAGATGCAAGAAGATCAGCTGCTTCATCATCAGGTTTTTCTTCAGCAACAGGCAAGGCCAAACAAACCGCAACCAGGAGACATACTCCCGAAAGTGTCTGAAAATTAAGATTTTAAACAAATATTATAAATAAAATCAATTCTTAATTATATCCAATTATCATAGAGTCGTTTCCTCGCATAATTCTTTTCAGACAAATTTTTGACTACTCTTGCGTGACTCAAGGAAGCTGTATAATAAAATATAAAAAGACCAAAAAAGTTTTTAAGGAGGGCAACAATCTATTTTGCTGTTTTAAGGATTGTTTTCGCAAGAGTAATCTCCTATAATTAACCTTCCTATTTGTCTGCATTTCTATTATTACCAATAAAATCATTAAGACAAGTCTATTAATTTGATCGTAATAATAATGAATAAAAATTTATACAATATTTTAATAAAACATTAGTAAAAATTCAACAAGATATACTCGACTTAATTTAAATTAACTGACATTACCAAAACATTGCTGCCTACTTATTAACTCGAATTTACTATTAAATAATAAATTTTGAACGAATTTTACCCAACAGTTAATCTTATCAACGTGTAAACTGATGATTTCCCTAAAAGATCATAAACCAAACACCGTTTACTTACCCAAATCTTTCTCATATTGAAGAGATGTTACTCTCTCTAAACCTATTCGAACTGTGATCTGAAGCTGATTTTCACATCCTTAAATACAGGTTGGAAAATTTTATGGCATCCAGTCGAAGCAAGGAAGGGTACCAAAAACTAAAAACAAGTAACCCCCCCGTTCCCTAGTACAGTCACGCCTTGATAGGTCCCTTTATCTCTCGATATACTATTGGGCGTTTGCATATGCATTGATGAATGTTATCGGGGTCAGTCACCGTAACTAGGAGTAACTATTTGTAGAAAAAAAGGCAGCTAATAAAAAAATTTTCTGTGATAATATTTTATAATGGATGTTAGTACCTATCCCTACTGGTAGGTGTTGTTTTCATTCACGTGCCAACATCCATGTGTTTTTAGAAACATCGTAGACAGGTACCATCCATAACTTAATATAGACTTATTTGTTTAAGTGTGTTTCACTTCAATAAATTCGTATTTTAAAATCTAAAATAAGTAAATATTTTAAATTAATNTATTATTATTTATTTCTTTATTTATTTACTTGTTCACTCTCTCTATATATATGCGGTATTTTCTTTGATTTGAGTTATGATTTTTTTTGCAGTTTTTGTATCATTCCTAACGATTTTCACTTCTCTTCGTTACTCGACATATGCAAATAACGAATGGCTATGCCCTCGGGGAACGTATCTCATTGTCTGTTCTTCTTGTTAGAAAGAAAGATTTTCTTTGCTATGACCCATCGACTTGTCAGCAACTGTTGTCTACTTATAAATTTAATACATAAAAGTCATCCCTAACAATACTTAGAAACGTAAGCAAATGTTTGTTCTTTTGTGAAAAATTATACGATATGTTAATTAAAATAAATTCCGAGTTACGTAAACATCTCTATTTAGATACAATAGAATACTTTAATTAATTAAAAATTTTTAAAAAATACTCGATAAAACGAGCGAAATAACATCGTACGAACATCGGCGGTACTCGGAATTACAAGTGAGACATCAAACATTAAAGATTTTAAAATGAAATTGTTTCTGCACAACGATTGGTCGGTGAATTTGAAACATTTTTGACGTATTTCAATTTCTTCGAATAGCCAGCGATCGTGGGCGTATCTTTCTATTTCTCCGCCCAATAATTATAAAAATATATTTCGATTATTATCTTTTGTATATTACACAGAACCGCCTGTGTTTATTAATGATATTTTTTACTTAATTTGATCAATTTTAAAGGTGATTTTGTTTATAATTAAGCTTTATTTATTTAAAAAAAATGTATATAAAAACTTCACGACACTATATTAAACTTGGACGTCATAGCGAACGTAATTATGAAAGGATGATGATAACACAAGATGGAGAAAGCTCCGGATCCATCTGCATTAAATTTTCTTTGTTAAACACTTGTGCAGATTCGTGGCTAGAGAGTTAAATTCAGCATAAATCAATTCTTAAAATATATTTTCTCAGTAGTTATCATGCAGAATTTTATTCAGATCGTTTGAAAAGTAGATTTTTTTTTTTCTTCTTTTCTTATTCTCTTCCAACAAATGAGGTAATAAAGTAAAGAAAAATTATGATACGATCCAGAATAAAACTATTCGAGTTTAGAATTCTATTTAGCTTCAGAAATTTCATAAAAGTAAACACACGAGTAAAGAGAAAAAAATATATAAGGTAAAGGAAAGTGTAATTGATAGGATAAAGACCATTTCCAAAAATGAATTTTTTTTTCTTGAAAAAAAAATAAAATAAATAAAAATCCGGTTGTAGAAATAAATGGAAAATGTGAAAAAAGCGTAACTGTTTGAGCCGTTCGTTGGAAAAAGACTTAAGCTTATGTAAATCCTATGTTCTACGCTTCATAAGGAGAAGGAGTCTCTTGTTGAGATGGTCCTAAGTAGCTTTCTGTGGCTCTTCGTGTTAGAAATGACAGAATTATCTTTTCTAGACTTGTAGACCTTTCAAATACAACATCGATTTTCCGGTGGCACTAGCATGAATTTTTTTTTTATTTTCACTTCTAACAAAATCGAAACGTNAAATATTGCTTATTTTATTTAATACAGTTATTATTAATTTAATTTAATAGTTAATATATTAATCATTAATACTGTTATATACACTACTACTATTCGTGGCCTTATTTAGACATTTACGACTGGGAGAGGTGACGACTGGAGGATGTTGATATTGCCTCTACTCTCCCAATGATCAAATGTAAAGTTCGAGAAGGCTGGTTCTCCTCTTTCATCCTTCGTTACACCTGCTTTACACTGCTGTATTTCTCTTAAATCCTTCTCCTTCATTTCCCCTTCTTTTAGGTAGATGAAAATCGACACCGGATATGAAAATCTTAGTGGCCGGAAGCCCTGATTAACTACATACGAACTTTCGGTATTGACCGGCAATTACGCGATTCCAATTAAAAATTTTTATCTAAATTAAAAATACGATTACAAATTGCAACCCAACATTGCGACGATATCCCAATAAGTAATATAGAATTTATAGAATGTTGTGAAGTATAACAATAATGACAAAAAGTTGCTGACTATGGAATTATTTTAATATGAGGCTACGATCGGAAATCAATGTAGTGTTGGTGAATTTCTTAGATATTCGAATTATCTTCAGTGAATAGACAGAAGTGCTGGACAAAATGAACTGTATTTTTTTTTTATTTTAACACTGTTTATGTCAATTCTGAGATAGCAAAGCTACTTTAACGACAGAGGGTTGAAAGTGGTTGTTATCCTTATCGTATTACCATCAAGCTTGTCATCCATAAAAGTGGTAAAAAGGGCTCGGTCTCAACTGCTACGAATCCCTAGGTTATTTGTGTTTCTATTCTCAGTCATTATCACGTATGGGTAAGGTAAGAAGGTATCAAATTACAAACGAGGAGAAAGGAAAGAAAGAATATTGCACACCAATTTTCAAACACCGATATCTTTTTCTATATTATCTTATTGTTTAAATTTTATAATAAAGCAAAGGCATAATGGCTCTGTCGAATTGTTTATGTGCATCGAGAACTAAATAAATTTCTTACAACAATTCATCCTTACAGTTTTAAAGTCGTTTTAAGTTGTAAAACCAACAATAATTTTTAATGTTATTCCACATTCGATAGCTTTATAAATAAATAAAAAAAACAAAGATATTACGATTTCATTCCTTTAATCTTTGATTTCCTTCGCCCAGAAAACTGTAAATATTATTGGAGGATTTGAAAATAGTTTGTTTCGGGTCACAAAATTTACTTTCTCTACTAAAAGAAATAAAAGATGTAAATCATAACGTAATAGTATTAACGTAAATATGGAGATTTTTATATAATAAAATAAAGATTTCTGCATATTTATCAACTTTTTTTACAATCAAAAACTTAAAGAGGCAAAGAATATTTTTCACTTTTAACCAGTTAAAAGTTTAGTTTTGCCTTGAACATTGACGTTTGATCATTTTTCTTTGCCTGGCTGCAAGTAAGATAGATTGGCTTACTCTATAATTTTTCTGGCTGATTTAAACACGTCAACATAGCTGGCCTTAAAAATCATTTAGGAGATATTGTTCTAATAAAAATGCTTGCGGGTGTTCCCGAAGAGACATTTTGATAAATAACGTAGTTCAGCTAATGTTTTAAAGTTATATCTATATCTAACAGCTATATATTTTAAGTCTAAATTCTTATATTAAACTTGATTTGACGTAAAAAAACTGTTAAACGTAGCAACGTTAGAATCTTCAAAAATTTATTAACATATTCAAGAATTTGTAAATAGAAAAATGTATAAGTAAATAAAATAAAACTGACGTATTCAAAACATATAAATTTTCAATATAATTTTAAGAATTTTTAATATAAATTCTATATTTTCTTATAATTTAATATACAACACTTTAAAGAACTAAGTTGATATTTATGGTAATAAAATTTATGGAGATTTTGAATAAATTTATAAAATAAAAATAATATTGAATTTTATAAAAGAAAGAACAATAAAAAGTTATAAAATTTTAAATTTTAAAACTCGTGAATTCTGAAATAAAACAGTATACCTGTTTATAAATGCAGAAACTGTATCAGAAAATCGCGTAATTTGACTCTTTCTTTACTGCTGTTTTTTGTCAAGCATTTAAAACACTAATATCTTTACCATCGTAGAATTTTAACAAGATTGTTATCTGGGTTTCTAACTTACTAGCCTTGTAGAAGGAAACAAAAATTCCTAAGTTATTAGCTTTCTCTCTAGCTATAAGCAACGGATCTTTACTTATCATGAATATTACAACTCTTTATATGGTAAGTGCTTCATTACCCTTTTAGTGGCACCCAAACTGAGTCATTGTCTCTAGTAATGTTATTGAGTTACAATTAAGTCACGATACAAATTTATTCTAAAGTCTTCTTAGATTTACTTTTTGATAAGTTTTAAAATAGGCTAATTACTCCCGTTTGTCTCGATTTTTATGCCAAAATCAAGAATTTAGCTACTGAAATCAATAGTATAATTTGTAGTTAAACAATCGTTATTGAGTCTTTACTACAAGATTTGTAATTTAACGATTACATCGTTTTCCTTTAAAGAAAGTTACTTTAAGGTTAATCATTGTCAGAAAGCGAATGTTAAATGGCTTTTAGTACTTTAAATAAACTGATGGGAAAGATGTAGCTCAAATATTTATTTTATTCGGTTTGAGTTTATAGAGAGTAAAACTAATGAATATTTACAAAGTGTATATGAGAAAACACTTTTCATATAGTCAAATGATGTTTATATGAACTTTAATTATAAAATGTCTGAATTGAGCAATTTTATTTGATGGTTAATTGCAAATATCTTCTCCATTCATCCTTAGAAACATCGGTAATTCATCATTTAAAAAAGTAAATCTTATATTCATCAATCCGTTATTTCTTATCAAATAGCTTTGTCCTTTANATATATTAAGGAATAATTGTAAATTTTTTCAAATTTAGTTCAAATAGCCTGTAGTATAATAAAATATTTATAAATTATCAGTTAAAAAATTACAATAGCAAATTACACGGGCATAGTATCGGTTTTAGTAACGAAGAAGATAAGGATAGAGCAGAGTTTCGTGTGAAAAAAAAACAATAAAATAGGAATGCGGAAAGAATCATTAAACACTTACAAAATCATTAAGTGATCCGTTTGATACATTCTTAACGGAAGTAGAAACAATAATACGTTCGGAATAAAGAACATTAATAGTTATAAAAATTCTATTTGGCTTCTTCTTAATGGAATTGTAATTTAAAATCACCATTAAGAATTTTCCTACCAAATGTTTAATGGATACGTGAAATTGCCAATCACCGCAGTAAATATAAATTAGCTGTTAGTTTCCTTCGATAGTTTCTAAATAAATAACTTTCGTGTTAAACTGAAATAATGGTATTTTTGGTAAACCATTAGTTTTCTGTATCGCATTTCTTTGTTTTTTTTATCCATTCGATAAAATAAAATTATTTACGAACGTTACCGAAACTTCTACGTATAATTTGCTATATTTTAAAATAAAATGGCATTAATATATTAAATTTAGCAGTATAATAAACAGTTATAAACATATCTAAAAATATGACCTTTATGACTTTTAGAATTAAGGCTTTTTATACGAAAATTGCTTAAAATTTCATATTTTATTTATTGTATTTTTTTATGGAGAGTAATTTAAAATTCTTATAAATAATTATGAAGCATATTTTTTAATAACGGATGAAAACTTTTAAAAGCCCTATAGTTAAATGTAGTAAAGGGTATAGGTCTCTTATGATAATTTACATGGCTGATTAAAGTGAAATGAGGTCCGAACCAGTCATAAATCTGATACTTTATCCTTCTTCTGGTGATCCAGTGGATAAAACCACTGGTAGTTTGATGATCGTGAGTTCGTGCCTGACCAACGTCCAGTCACGTGGCGTATTCTACACGTGTCTAACACGCGTCTAATGTCTAAATAAGAGCCAGATTACCCACAAAGTCATTCCTGGCGACCCTCCTCCTTGGCAATGGCCCAAGTGTTGCGTTGTCTTCTTCCATTAATTAATCCAATCCTTCTTCGAAAATTATAAAAATACGTGAATAAAACTAATAAAATAAATAAAAACAGGAGTTTTCACCAATTGTCAATTTTCGTATCGTGTTTCTTTACAGAAAGGTTAAATTTCGAGGATCCATTTTATCTACTGTAGATATATTTAATCTAATGTCTGTATTTAATCTAATCTCTGTTATCCTTTCCAATTAGACTTGAATACGAATATTATACATTATTATAATAAATTATAGATTTAATTTTCGTTATAAACTAAAATCAGGATCCAGACATTAAGAGATTCCAGTGGCACTTGCCCTTTTCTAGGGTACTAGCGTATCAAATAAAAATGAACAACAAAAACGTAAAAAATTGTATTGTAGAATATTTCTTTAAATAATAAAACTCTATAAAAAATAAACCAGCAACGAGTTGATTAACTTTCCCGGAAAAAAATACTTAAAACTGCGTGTGGCGCCATCTGTTATGATATTTTATTTTAAAACCTTTTATATTTTTAATTTATTATAAAATATTCGCAATTTTCTTGCATTGTTAATATAAAAATACTGCTGAATGTTAGTAATACGTGTGATACGTTTCATTTGTCAATGACTATGGCTCATTGACAAATGAAAATACGAAAAAATCAAATGTATTTGTTAATTTATGAGGCAAATTTTGCAGGATCGACGATTAACATTATAGAAATAATGCATTAAATCGATATTTACTAAATCCATAACAGAGTTACAATGACGCTTTGCTAAAAATATTCCTTTATCTCTCTAGAATCAGTTATGATAAATATATTGTCAAACCGTTGTCGTTTTTCTCTATTATTTCCTTAATTTAAGTGTGTAAATGTAAATAAATATCTGTAACTCTGTAGACCTATTCTGAGAAAGAATAATTTAACAATTGATTGATTCTTGATAAGTGCAATTTTGTTACTTTATGCACTATTTAAAGGAAAAGTTTGACACAATAATGGAAACATTTTACTATATACGACTACTGTATATAGCAGAAGCATGAGAATATACAACTTATTCGATTATTAATGAAATGTGTGTGTAATTAATAATATTCCAAATCAAAAATCATTTCGAATGCTGGAACTATCTGTCAGTGTATGTTACAGTTATGACAAATCAGCAAAGATACGAGGAAGTGACATTTTTCCTAGTCCCTGGGAGAAATGGAAACTTAATACTGTTTATAACGAAAAAATCTAATG